TAGGGAATTCTGGGAACTGTAGTTTTGTGAGACATTTAGTCTTCTCTACAAAAGAGCTCTGGTGCCACAATAAACTACCATTCCCAGGATTCCTTAGCAGGGCAGTTAAAGCGGTTTCAAATTGGATTATTTCTGCAGTCTGTTTTTGGGACCTCAGTGAGGGCTTAAGCCTGTCTCTCTCAGCTCCAAAAGATGGGAGACCTCCGACCAAAGTTCCTTCAACTCAGTGGAATTTTATCTCATTAATATATGTCATATATATATAAGTATGTGTGACATATATGTCTCCTTTTTAATATGCTGTATGTCTCCTTATTAATATATGTCATATATATATATGTGTGTGTGTGTGTGTGTGTGTGTGACATATGTCTGCTTTTAAATATGTCTGTTTATATGTCATATATATATGTGTGTGTGTGTGTGTGTGTGACATATGTCTCCTTTTAAATATATGTCTCCTTATTAATATATGTCATATACGTCTTCCATCTGTCAAGGATGCTTTGATTGGGAGTTCCTGCATGGCAGGGGGTTGGACTGGATGGCCCTTGTGGTCTCTTCCTACTCTATGATTCTATGATTCTATGATTCTATGATATATGTCTCCTTTTAAATATGTCTCCTTATTAATATATGTCACACAGACATATGTATATGAGTATGTGCAACATATGTCTCCTTTTAAATATATGTCTCCTTATTAATATATGTTATAACATATATTAATAAGGAGACATATATTTAAAAGGAGACATATATGTCACTCTGTGTGTGTGTGTGATCTCTCTCTCTCTCTCTCTCTCTCTCTCTCTCTCACACACACACACACACACACACACATAGAGTGAGCCCTTGGTATCTGCTGGGGTTTGGATAGCAAAATCCACAGATGCCCAAGTCCCATTAAATACAATGACATGGTAAAATGGTGACCCTTATATGAAATGTCAAAATCAAAGTTTGCTTTTTGGAACTAGCAACTTTTTAAAATATTTTCAAGCCTGGGGTGCTTGAATCCATGGATACAAAATCCATGGATACAGAGGACTGACAATATCATATATATATCATGGATACAGAGGGCTGACTATGTGTGTGTGTGTGTGTGTGTGTGTGTGTGTGTGTATATATATATATATATATATATATATATATATATATATATATATATATGACAGCCAGCATGGCATAGTGATTTGAGCATTGGACTACAACTCTGAATACCAGGTTCAAATCCTGGTTTGTCCATGTAAACCCACTGGGTGACCTTGGGCAAGTCACATTCTCACAGCCTCAGGGGATGGCAATGGCAAACCCCCTCTGAAGAAACTTGCCAAGAAAACCCCATGATCGCCTTAGGGTCATCATAAATCAGAAACAATTTGAAGGCACCCAACAACAGGGCATGATAGGGTTGTCAGAAATCGGAAACGACTTGAAGGCACACACAGAATGACTAGACATCCTCCTTTTCCAGGACTTGCCCTACATTAGAACCTTCTGTCCAGAAGGAATTTCAAAAGGTCCTCTATTTTGACCATGACTAAGAAGCATGAAAATTATATTTATATGAGGTTTTTTAGTTTTTAATTTTGAGTGTCCTACATTTTCCCTTACATGTCCTACATTTTGTGGTGCCTTGCCCTCCTTTGCGGTTAGGACATCTAGTCACCTGTGCACACAACAACAACAGGACTGCAACCTTGTACATTTATATTCCTTTGTTATTGTAAATTTCATGCGTGTTTTGTATCACTGGGGCAGTCTGTTGCTGTTGGAAGGTAAAAATGTTTGAAAATAAATAAATAGGAGTAGGCTAGATTATTATCATTCATAATCTTCATCTATTGTGCTTTATAGGATTACATCAAAGCATTTGACTGCATAGATCATGAAAAATTATTGATGGCTTATAAAGTCGTGGGATTGACACCACATCTGACAGTCCTGGTGAGAAATCTGTACTTGGGACAAGCAGCTACTGTTAGAACAGAATATGGAGAAACAGAATGGTTCCCAATTGGAAAAGGACTCAGGCAAGGCTGCATCCTATCACCCTATCTGTTCAACTTGTATGGAGAAAATATCATATGAAGAATAGGCTTAGACACAGAAGAAGGAGAAGTGAAGATAAGAGGAAGAAAAATCAATAATCAGATATGCGGCGATATCATACCACTAGCAGAAAATATCACAGACCTGGAACATCTGCTAAGAAAGATCAAAGAAGAAAATGCAAAGGGAGGCTTACTGCTCAACATAGGACCTTATCACACGCTGGCCCACGAAGCGAAAAGTAACCAA